CGTAAAAAGACAGTATAAGTCATTATAATCCGTAATTATGTTCCCACTGAATGCATCAAATGCCTCGTTTATAATGGGTTTTAATGTTTTTGTTTCGTTGCTCCGGGAGACGGCATCACAGTATGGTAAGGGGCGTAACATTTGCGTCACACGCTTGAGGTATTCGGCTAATCACAACGCACTGGATAGCTGGACAATCAGAGCACACCTCGATTTTCAGACCGATGAGCTTTGTAAAAATCGATGCGTTTCAGAAAGGTGGGGCATAGAGGAGAAACAATAATGTACAGTATGTGGAAAATAAAGTGTTTTTTGAACCTAAAACCGCATAAACACATTTCATTACACCAAATACACAAAATAATGTTCTTTTTAGCAACATCATATGACCCCTTTAAGAATAAACCAATTTTGAGTAAGATCTTTTCACTGAATCAGATCCAGTTCTGAATGATTTGTTCGCAAAACCAGTCTTCAAGTTCAATCTCTTCAGGATCATGGGAAGCTCGAAAGTCTTTATGACTATAATAATAATTGAAGTAATTTCAAAATATCTCATTTCCTTTCTGATTATTTCAGTATTTTCATTTAACCAAGTATAATCCATTCTGATAGGTATCAATGAAGCTTTAACCATCTTATTTTCAGTGTTACAAAGCAGACATGCTCTTTTCAGAAATGTCATCCAAAATATTACTGCTGCTTCTGTTGAAGCTAATTTGACCGTGTTAAGTAGATTTTTGGAGATATTAAAAGGCCCTTATGGTCTCGGACTGCAAACACAACATGAAAGTTAAATTGATCCTTTCTCTCTCAAGTTTCTGTGTGAAAAAGTAAGTGGTCTGGCAGCATCTAGGTGTGTATTCCTACAGTAACAAGTAAAGTGTAGTTTATTCCTATAGGTCCGATAGCATATAGCTTCCAATATCCCAGAAATCTCTATTCTATTCAAACAAGATTGTTAAAAGAATGATCTCAAATCAAGCACAACATCAATTATTTTAAATTTTAGTCTGTGTTGTGGTGTTTAAGTTCTTGTCAGCATGATTTTTTACGGTGCACTTCTCTACATTGTTTCTACATGCAGGGAGTTCAGCTACATTAAGCCCACCTCACCCTTTCAAAGAACACACACACACACACACACACACACTAAGGACCTACATATCTCAGGCTAATTGCAGTGAGGGGAAATTATTCATATTCTGCCTCAGTCTGCAAATATTCAGATGAATGGGAGATTGGGCCCAGACAAACATGCACATGCTCAACATGCATATAAGGGTCAACAACATTCTTCCCCTCTTTTTTTTCTGGCCCAGATCTATTCATTTATTCAACAAAAACATTAAAAATGCAACCCATGTCTTGCAATGACTTGAATACACCTCTTCTATAATGAACATGGTTTTAATTTCTGAAATAAAATTACTTTTGAAATTTTGGGGGTGGCACAGAATCAGCAATGTCAGGGAGATACAACTGTCCTGATATCATAATGAAGACAAAAACCTTTAAAACAAAGCCTTATTAATTAATTTGGCTCAATCCTTTATTAAAGGTAGGGTAGGCAGTTTCAGAGAGACTAGCAATAGCAAGCTAGCTTTGAAAGTATAAGATCCCACCCTCCCTGCAAATCACTTTCCAAAGCCAGGCCTCCTCCAAAACACAGGCTAACCAATGATACGATGAGAGACGGCGTTGGTGGAGTTTGAATGCAACATTGTCAGATTACCTCATGTCTCATTCACCGGTGAGAAAACATTACAGTATAAAGCGCAAAATATTACAATAATAATGCCTTCCATTCTCGCTTGGTCTGCAATAGCATACTGGAACACGCTGATGACGTATCATGTGTGTCGAAACAGGGTGCACGGGGGTATGCAAATAGGGGAGAGCAGGGTGAGTTGAGACAGTTTTTACTTATGGTGTGTTTAAAGTGAGCACATGACAGTAATGGGTCCAACTTAAATATGTATATACTTCTCAGGATGTGGTGTATGCTTGGGAATAATAAATACTTTGGATCTAAAATAAACTGCTTTCAAAATATGGCTTTCCAAAAAGAGGGCAAGTTGAGCCACAAAGAGTTAAACTGTGCCATTGATTATGCTGAAGTAAAACTGAACATTTTCACCTCATGCTATATCAAAGGAAGAGAAATTCTATAAAAAATTACTTCTTAAGATATATGTGTGAGCCTTGTGATGGACTGACCATCCATCCAGTGTTTTTCTCTACCTGTGGCTCAAGACGCTGGGTTAGGCTCCAGCTCCCCACAAAGAGGTTTGGATAATGGAATGGATGGATGGATGGATGGATGACTTCTTAAAAGTTTTATTTAAAGATACAGTTCACAACTCTGAAGGCATTTTTTTCATTATTTAAACATTTCAGCACAAAATAAAGTTCAAATTGAAGAATTAAAAAAAAAAACGGACCTTACAGAACTGGGCTAATAGAACTTAACATCCCACTTATAAATGTTGCAGGGAAATACAAGTTCATAAAAACTTCAATGGCCAATTTTCATAAACAAGGCCTATTTAAAATTTTAACTCAAAACAAAGAACAAAATCAAAAAATTTTAAACTTAATGAAGTATAACTTAGAATTACAGTAAAATAATACTTTATAATCATAAGAAGGGGTGAGCCACTGGCTCAACTTACCCCAGGACTTTTGGCTGAAATTACCCCACTCTTACCATTTTAACAAACTTGTATCATCCAGCAGTTTAGAGCTAACATCATGCTAACAGTATAGCCTCATATTATAACCTCCTAAAGCACAAACGTGTGATATTTTTTTCAGATTTGTCTGTAATTGTTTAGACACAAGCAGCATGAGTCCTTGAACATACAAAAATCACTTTGAACAGCAAAAATCCGTTTTTTTTTTTTTTTTATATAAATTTAGTTACCAATTATTCCATGGACCATGGAGTAAAATTTGTAGTCACATCACCAATTTTGTTTAAGGTTGCCTAGAAACAAAGGGTGGCTCAACTTCCCCACAGTCTCAAATCAACCCGCTCTCCCCTACATACGTTCATAGGCAGGTAGGATAGCCTATTGTAGCCCTCAGACTGAGGGATATGATTACACAAACATTTTATGGTCCTACACCTTCCACAGATGATATAAATACATTTAGACTACTTAACCTAGTGATTGCTATCAGGATGTGAAAAGATTTTCAACCAGCATAACTAAAAAAAAGTTTTTGAACAAATCACCTACCCTGCCTTTAATATTAATATTTCTCGAGGAAAAATAAAACAGAAAACAGCAGAAAACATAAAGCAAGAAATTATATCAGAAGACCCCTGAAGATAGTCAGGAGTCAGTTAAATAATAATAATAATAATAATAAGTTTAAAAAAATATTAATAATAATTAATAAATTAATCATGATGTTTGTTCAAAAATACTTTTAAAAATATATTCAGAATGTTTTTGAAATTAATGATTAAGATTCACATGTATTCAAACTCAGTGTTATTTCAAAGTTATTAGTTATTACTTGATGGTTATGCCACATGACATTTTTCAGTCAAACTCTTCTTGAAAATTCATCATGAAATCTACATGAATACATGGAGTACATTTCTAAGAACATAGCAAATGCATTTTCACTAGAATTTAAAAGATTTTTCTCTCTCTCTTTTATATTTTTTTTATTATGAACACTCTTATATGTCACTGATCCAAAAATATCTTCATGTCCCTTTTTACTCAACATAATTATCAACACACCAATGCCATAGTGATTTTGGGAGCCAAACCTATTAATTCAGTTAATATAGGCCACATTCATGCGCACACACACAATTTAACCAGTACTCAACCATTAAATCCTGACTAACCCCTCAAGTACAAATTAAGACCCTTCTTTTCGTCGCCTTCATTTTCATTTGTGTCACTCTCTCTCTCTCTCTCTCACACACACACACACACACACACACACACAAGTGTCCACATATGGAATTGGGTGGAGCTCATCTCTAACAGCCCTTGAAATCCAATGAAATCCACTCAGAACTCCCAGTGCAAGTAAAATATTTAATCACATTCATATGAAAAGCTACAGAGCATGTCAACAACTTCCTTATTCCACCAAAGGCAGCACCTCGAATCGTCAAAAAAAAACGTTAGCTGCCCATCCACGCCCTAAAACCTTACACTACTCGCCCAGCAGACGTACAGCGTTATGCAAATACAACTAATCCTTGAAGCCAACATCTAAATACGACTGTTATTATTTTTCCTGCCCCCTGCCTTCACCTTTCACCTTTAAAACACGCACGGCCTTGTTAGCGAGCATCCAGATTAAGTTTCATCATGCAAACCGACGGACTCCATTTTCATTAACGCACGTCCACGATTTCCACCCTCGTAAAGGACAGTGGGCCGTCAATCATGAGGAATATTAGATGAGAAGGGAAGAGATGGCTTTTTAATCACTTTAAGTGAAGAGGAAGGACAGGTGAGCTTTCTGAAAGCCTTCTAGAATATTCACCGCACAATCAGTCCATATATATGACAATGCATATCTAAGATTTGAGGCCGCATATTGCGAGGTCTCACAAACACCAGCGATAAATACACACACATGCAGGATGATATGCAATTATTTGATTTAAGCCTGACAGTTCTGAGAAGATGCAAGTAAATTGAGGTGATATGCTTGAAATTCTCTCTTGGATTTCATATTGGATAAAGCTAATGATCTGGGAGTATCCGTAATAGAAAATACTTCATTTAATCACAAAGATACTTCAGATAAAGAGCTTCCTTCCAGCGTTGGCCTCCACAGTATTGCCTTCCTAATTATAAATGGAGGTAGCATGCTAAAACACATACGCCGTCAGCACATGTGTGTGCTATGCTGTATTAATTAAGAAGAGAGATGAATAAATAAACATGACAGAAGTGTCTCATTAAAAATAAACCACACACCACAATCCAGACCCCATCCCACCTTTAGCAACCACTGTGTGTGTGTTTGCATAACAGCGTTTCATATGGAGGCCTCTAAAACCTTGTGCATCCATCACTTCCATTTGAGCTTGGTCTGTTCGTTTAACCTCCCCACCTCTTTCTTCCTCCTGGGTATTTTGGCTATACGGTGTCCTACAAAGCTACACCACGTTTTTCACAGGTGACAGAAGTATTGCAGTCTCTATGTCAGCCTGGATGTTTGTGTACGTGTGCATCTGTCCAAACCGGTTAGACATAGACCGAGAAATGGGGAAAAAGCTTTGGAATCATGCTGGATATATCACATTCTGTTTGTGCATGAGATTGTGTGACTTTTTCAGCCAAACAGAAAGAAACATGACAATATACAAATATCCGTGCTCACAAGACACCCAAAGTATAATATAATATATATATATATAT